CGGCAGGCGCGCAGCTCCGCGCGGCGCCCCGCGCGCTCCCGACGCCGCCGCACGCGCAGCCTCGCTCGCGGCGGCGCGCGCCGGCCTTCCCTCCTCCTCCTGACGGCAGGGGGCGCTGCAGGGAAAAACGGGAACGGGGACGGGAATGGGAATGGGGACGGGAATGGGGAACGGGAATGGGGACGGGGAACGGGAATGGGGACGGGGACGGGAACGGGAATGGGGACGGGAATGGGGAACGGGAATGGGAATGGGAACAGGAACGGGAATGGGGACGGGAACGGGGAACGGGAATGGGGACGGGAACGGGAATGGGGACGGAGACGAGAACAGGGACGGGGACGGGGAACGGGAACGGGAATGGGCACCGGCACCACCGGCTGGGGAGCAGCGAATCGCGGGAGCGAGCCACGGGGAGGCTGCTCGGGCGGGCTCCGGAAGAGAGTGGGAAAAGGGAGCCTGTGTCCCTTGGCGCTGTCCCCTGCGGACATCGATGCCCTGGCTGGAGCTGCAGCAGGAGCTTAGGGAGGGCGGGTGGGGGCCAGGTGCTTTATTGAATATCGTGTTTTCCCAGTTTTGCAGGTCACGGGGTTGGAGGATGAAATAAAGGACATAACCAAATTCAGGTATATTTAGGCATACCTTTGGGATGGGCCAAGATTAACGTATGTGGGCACTTCAACCTTTACCTAGCTAGGATGCTCTGGCACAGGATTAATAAAATTTGCAAATACTTTAGGCTTTGCGTAAAGCATTGATATTTAAGGACTAGATACTTTGAAGATTTCAGGGCTAGCATGTAGTTGCTTCTATCATTCTCAGTGTTGCTGTACCTCCAGCTTCCCAAAGCATTCTGAAACCAATACCAGCTTTCCCTTAACATATGAAATGGCCAGTGCAATTGGGGTGACCCACCCGTAGGAAAAATCTGTCAAATGTGAAGAGTATATTTTGAAAGCTCAAAATCCCCATGGGATACAGAAAGAATCTATTTCCAGTTAAAAACTCAGTAATTTAAAGCAAATTACATGACTTGGGGTGCACCACTTTGACTCATCCATTTTCTGATATTTAGGTATTGCAATATTGCTGCACATTCTGCTTATGGTGGTGACTTGTACCTAATCCAGCAGTATATTAACCCAAGTTCAGTTCTGTTGTGTGTTTTACTGGGGGCTCTTCTCCACTAGTCTTTAATCTCTAATATTACTTTAAATGCTATTTATTTCATAAAATATGTTGCACTTTTTTAAAAATGCAGTTAGACTATTTAATATTTAATAATTCAGTTATAAGGGCCCTACCTTGCATCACTACGTCTGGACTTGGAGAATTATTTGCTGTAGCTGGGATAATTATCTAGGGAGAAAAAAAAAAATTCTTCCAGTTGGAATTGTTCTGAACTAGATTTCTTGTCATAATGCTGAAGTGTGTGGACTGATGTTAGACTGTTATATGGAAGCAGCTGGGGATTTTTGTACAAAAATTCAGTCCTGTGCTCAATGAAGTAGGGGAGTATTTTAGTCTTGGCTTCACTCTGCATAATACTGCAACTTGTTTTGAAATCTATTTGCCTGTTGGCTTTTGGTTTAAAAAGGATCAAACAACAACAAGAAGGTTGAATTTTTCAGAGTCAGCTGAAATATTTTTTCAGTGTCAGTTTAGTCCTAAGTACCTTAGCTTTCTTTGAAAAATCTAGTCCACATGCTGAGAAAAACTGACCATTATTTTCATCCCAAAATTTATCAATGTTTATAGATAGCACCAGAGTAAATAATTCCTGCCACTGTGGTGGTTTCAGATCATATAAAGAACTGTCAGACCCACTTTGTCTAGGAGAAAAATTGAAACACAGGCATTAAAACACTTGACCAAAGCCATGAAGCACAAGTTGAATGCTACCAATTTGTATGTGCTGGGACTGCAAGTGTCAAGCTTTTTGACCATTTTGAAGTGCTTTGAAATGTGGAGATGTAATATTTTATCTCCTTTTTTAAAACATGGAAAGGAAAAATAACTTCTAAGGCTTGCAGGTGGGTTTACTTCCTAAGAACTTCCAACTGATTTATAACAGTTTGTGAAGTGGTTTCCTTAGTGTCATTGAAAGCAGAGTAAAGGAACAAGTTGAACTTGCATTTTCATTTTCAGCCCTCAACCTTTTAGCTTAGCCTGTAAAACCAGGAATCAAAAAATAGGATAAACAGTGCAAAAGTAGGCTGGGATTCTCATGACTCCCATTCAAGGGCATTTTCCTTCTCTCCCTCTTGTCCTCACCCTGCCTGCTCTCCCTCCCTCACTGTCTTAGCAACAAGATTCACTGGCTGACTGTAGCTAACTTGTCTTCTACCCCCTCAAACCCATTAGTTCATCTATTTAAGTCATGCATCGAAGAAGCCTGCCCCCTTTGAGCACACAGCTCACTTAGGGCCCAATCCTACAATCTTCAATTTTTAAGGCAGAGAGAGTTTGCAATTGACTCAAATTACATTAGGATAGGACCTTTTATGTTCTAATTTCTTTACAAAAGCTGTAGCATGACGGAGAGGGTGTCGGTGCTATCACTGTTTTCCTTCATCTACCCTTTTCTTTATTTGAAGAGCACAACAGTATATGGAAAAGTCCTTAAATAATGGAGAAAGTAACTAAAACATCAATTCACAAAACCTCTTCTATTCACAAATGCTGCTTATTCATTATCAGTTCCAGAAAATTGCAGAGATTGGATTTGGTGAGCAATTAGAACATTCAGTAGAAAACTTAGAGCATCCAGGAGAAAACAGCATTGTAGTAGTAATGACTACAGCATCCCTTTTTGTCAAAGCTTTTAATGAAAATCACAGTCTTTTAGTGCATATTTTAACGAAATGCTAAACATTGGGCAGATCTCAGAAGGAAGCCTGCTCTTTTCGCACTCCTAACAACCTCTGGCATAATGAGGTGTGACAAATTGATTTAAAATGTAGTTGCAGGAAGAAGGGCAGGCGAGCTTTGCTCTGCCTTGTGGGTGTTGTAGTCGTTTTGCAGCTCTCTGCCTGGGCAGCAATAGGAACCCGGACTCGAAGTCCCACAGCTCCCACTAGAGCCCGCCGCACAGGCTCAGAGCCCATATGCGAGGAGGGGGTGACTACATTGTGTCTATTGTATGGTTTTTTTGTTTTGGTTTGGTTTCGGTTTTTTTTTTTTTTTTTTACCCCCGGGGCATTTTGCACGTTTCACGGGAGGTGTAAACCGGGAGTAAAAAGCATGGCAGATGAGCAAGAAATAATGTGCAAACTCGAGAGCATCAAGGAGATCAGGTATGTTTGCTTTGTGCCCCATCGCTTACATGAAGCAGCTTTTTCCTCGGGGGAGCGGAGGAGTTGCATCCATCTGAAAGTACCTATTGTGCTACTGAGGGAAAGAAAACTACCGCTGGGTTTACGACGAGAGCTCAAAATACATTTTTCTAAGCAGGGAGGGAGCATCTGCTGCGGGCAATCGCCGCTGGAATGCGTAGTGGAGGGCGGTAATGGTCGTGCATTTGCAGAGCAGCCCTGAGCGCTAGCACGGGAAGGCGGAGTGCGCGGTGGGAAGGACTGAGCGGCCCGGCGCAGCTGGGGGAGTGGTGTCGGGCCGCGGCTGTGTAGGGCTTCCACTGTTTGTTTGTTTGTTTGTTTTTAAGTCATTTGAATTAGCATTTCGTATTCATGAGGCTCTGAATCTGTTATTTTGCCTCACTCACTCCCGGGCAGGAGCCTTGTCGGGCTGAGAAGGAAGGGGGGATGGCAAGGGAAGCAGAGTCTGACACCCAGATCCGACGTGCCCTCGGGCAGGACACGGCTGGGCAGCGCTGCCGGCAGAGCCGCAGGGGGGCAGGACAGCCATCTGTCCATCCATCCGTCCGTCCGTCTGTCCGTCCGTCCCCCGCGGAGGGCGGCGGTAGGGTAGGGCCCTCCTTGGAGCGGTGGATCCGTGCGGGGTGAGAGGGGAGCGGCTGAGCCTCAGCGGCTTCTCCGTCCCTGCCCTCTCTCCCCTTCGGCCAAAGGCGGGCAGCGGCTGAGGGAGCCCCGCCGAGATGTCCCCGCCTGCTGCTTCGGGGACGGGGACACTCCGGACCGGGGCTTGTTCATCCGTGCCCTCCTGCCGCAAGGCCCGAGCGCCTCGGGCTGCGGTTCATGCAGTGCAAAACACCGGGAATTTGTATGTAGCGTCCTTTACACGGTGAGCTGCAGGATGCTGTGGAACAGGGGGCTCATTAAAAGCCAGGCAGGGTACAGCACCTGCCCACATCGGGAACGTTTTTCATAACTTTAGGCAGGGCGTTTCCACTCCTTGCTTCAGGGCACCGATTTTCAGGGTTAGGCCTGATCTGTCTGTTTACCTGGAGCCAAAACACCTTAGAGAGAACAGTGGTTTTGAATGCAGCTGGGAGGTGGAAGGCACGCTGACTGCGACACCCCAGAGCCGTGAGAGGGTTTTGGGACATGACAGCCAGAGAGGGGCTGGCAGAGGGAGAGGAGAGAGGGATCCCAGCTCCCAGGTGATCACAGGCACTTCTGCTGCTTACAGCATCTCTGGGCTGGCAGAGAGAGAGGAGAGAGGGATCCCAGCTCCCGGTGATCACAGGCACTTCTGGCTGGTTACAGCATCTCTAGGGAGCACACTTTATCCGTGGAACAATTTATTTGCAGCAGAGTATGGGCCTCAGCCTTCTTCCCACAATACCACAAAGATGAACAAAGATCCAGCAAAAATATTTGTCTGTCTAGTATCCCCAAACTATTTGTAGAAAGAGATGTGGCAGTGTAAGAACAATGATTTTGTACTCAACTGGTGCACAGGCTCTGTTTTAGAAAACAGATCTAAGTATGGCCTACTACAGTGTGTGGTCCAATTACTGTAGCACTTAATTTAAATTTTGTTTTTCAGTGAGAGTGGTATCCTCTATTTGGAAATTTACAGTGCATTCAGTTTTAGGATAACATATTCAAAGGTGATATATTAACTGCACTTGACAGATTTTTGCTATTATTTTGTGGTGTAAGGTAGAGCAAAGGTGAAGTTTAGCTTTAGTGTACAATGAAGTATCAAACAAGTTACTTGAGTGTATTTTAAATTAAAAAAAAAATCAGTGTCAAAAAGCCAGTCCTACTTGCAATGTTGATGTCCATTTTAAGTCGCCTTTAACAAAATCTGATCAAATAAACCTATTTACTCATTCGAAGCTTGCATTCTGTGAAGAATTTCCTTCAAGATAAACATGAGATTTCCTTAAGTTTACAGATTCAGCTTTGATAGATTTAGCAGACTTTATTTTAGTCTGCAATTTATGTATTCTACAGACAGAGGGGAAAGAAGTCTTCATGAACAAAATCAAAGAACTTGCCCATCTGTATAGTTGATGTCTATCATGTGTTATGATACAGCTTAGCTGGGTTTTGAAGGGATGTGGGAATCTGATTTTGAATCTGGGATCTGATCTCTATATCCATATCTGTAACTATAGATAAATACATATAATTTGTAGTCAAGGGAATACTTCTTTCAGTAAACCCATTGGATGCCCACAATCCAAGCATATATGCACATGCTTATTTATATGCATTAAATAATTCCACAGAAATAACCCAGTCATAAAATTAGGTAAATACCTAAAAACTCAGTGTTCTGACTGGGAGGAGATAAAAGAGAATAAGAGAGAATTTACTGATGAGAGATGCAGACATATGTCATAAATACAAGAGAGGAAACAGAAATTTTGTAATTGTTCTGTTTTAAATCTCCTTCATTCGTATTATCCCTGCCAGACCACCTGCTTCTGAATACATATTGTTTGTAAAAGTTTTTTATGGTACTGTTTTTATCTCTTGCAGCTTTATAAACTCCTGAAGTGAGAGAGGCAGCAGCCCAGGTCATATTACTAGCTATGACACTTGGAATATGTAGCCATAATTAATTGTCCAAGTGACTGACCTGCTTTCTGCCATGCTCTGTCAAAACCTGACAACATTCTATTAATTTCATAATTCAGTACAAGGACTCTCTTACCACTGAAAAGCTCAGCAAAAGATCTGGCATTAGAATTCAGTATTCTCCTTGTACCTCACCTTCTCTCAGACATATTTAGTCTCATTCTTGTCTGTTGCTGCTATTGCCTTCTTTCATCTATCTAATCCCATATAAAATGACACCTCACAAAAAAATGTGTCAGTGACTTACTGTTGTCTTTCTATCTTTTTAATTATCACTGGGATTCAGGAATAAGACTTTGCAGATGGAAAAAATAAAGGCAAGACTGAAAGCAGAATTTGAAGCCTTGGAGTCTGAGGAGAGGCACCTGAAGGAATATAAACAGGAAATGGACCTGCTGCTGCAAGAGAAGATGGCTCACGTGGAGGAGCTGCGACTGATCCACGCTGACATTAACGTGGTATGTGACAGCCCAGCTCAGACAGTCTGACTAAGACACAGCTGCACATGAATCATCCCACAGCTTGTGGAATTGTGCACGAGTGAAGCATCACTGGTTCAATAATGTGCACTTTACAACACTGTCCTAGGATCCTACAGAGAGTGCAAAGTAAATTTACCTCAGGATAATTGGTTTTTCCCTTTGTAGGGCAGGATATTTTATAATGCTGGCATAATAAGCTGTTGCACCAAGAGGATAGATAAGATAACCAAGCCTGTTGTGGCTATGTCTTTACCAGTAGCCACAGTGATACCACTCCAGCTGTCCCATAGAAAACAGTTCTTCCTGTTAGTCTTTTCTCATTTAGCACCCAGAAACAGAAACTTTGGCAGCTAGGTGGGACTAAGAGATTTTGAGAAAATACATAGTGTTTGTTATGTTCATAGTAAGAGCTGACTTTCATCACGGAGTGGAATCACCAAACATCAAGAAGCACCAGCCTGAAGAGAATTAATACAAATAAGAGAAACAACAATTTATAAACAGGGAAGACTAGCCAATTAGAGGGGCTAAATAGGGAATATACTTTAAAATACATTTTTGATCTCATATTAGGGCACTTACTTGGGGATCTTAGCTCTGAAGGTATCTGTGTTGCACTGGAAGAAAAAAGCTCCAAGTGAAAAAGTACAAGCTATGTACTGGATGTGCAGACTGCATTTATTTATGGCTTCAAATGTCTGCTTCCCTGTCCAGCTGCATAACCTCAGCCTCTGTTTCCTCCTCCTCTCTTTGTGCAGTCAAATTGTCTTTTCTCTGCTGCTTTTCCCACTTGCTGCAGTAAGAGAAGCAGAAACCTTTCCTTAGCTTGTTTGTTAACTTCTGCCAGTCAATGTTCAGGTATCTTAGAAACACAGAAAATTAGTTTATGCTACTTCAAGCTCTTGTTTAGTGTCTCTTGAGAGTCTTCAATAGCTCCTCACTTGCTGACTTTATTTGTAGCCCATCTCTCTGCTTTTTCTGTTGTTCAGAAGGTCCTATAGGTTGAATGCACTTTTAAAATATGAAAATGCATCTCATATGTCACTTTCTGTTGCTTCTTCTTTGCCCATTTTTCATCCTCTCAATACCATAAGTCTTTGTTTTACTATTGCATTGTCTCAAATCTCTTGCAACTTGAGTGAGAAAAATCTCCTCTTTCTGGTACAATCTGCTGCTCAGTCGGAGGGGAACAGTTCTTTAAAAACACGCCCAACCTCCTGTTTCAGATGGAGAACACTATCAAGCAGTCTGAGAATGATCTTAACAAGCTCTTGGAATCGACTCGCAGGCTCCACGAGGAGTACAAGCCCCTCAAGGAGCACGTAGATGCCTTGAGAATGACTCTGGGCCTGCAGAGGCTGCCAGACCTGTGTGAAGAGGAAGAGAAACTGTCCCTTGAGTAAGTCTTCAAAGCAAACATTATCTGGCTTTATGCTTTCTTTCAATTCTACTGGTCATTTTCTTATTTTAATTTTGTTGGTAGGTGAAAAAAAACAACCCGAGAGGTAAGCATGAAAAACAAAAGTTAGCAGAAAAGGGATGTGGAGGACATGTGTTTGATAACATTCAGTCTGAATTTGTTCCAGGTTAAATTTAGGTTATTCCAAGCTACAAACTCTACATACCACATTCAAGGGTGGTTGTTGGCCTTCTAGGTTTTATACTGTATGTCACTTTTTCTATCTTTTTATTTTTCCCTGAAATTTACTTCTTTAGCAAGCAATAGTAGGAGGCAATACACAAGAGGGATACAAACCAAGTATTCTTCAGCTGGGTTGTGCTGCTCCTAGTCAGAGTTTTACTTTTTGCTGCCTGTACATGGCAGTGGCTTTTAGCCAAATACTGTGACTGTCAACAAGTTTCCCTGAGATGTGGAATGGATTTGGATAATAAATCACAGTCTCATTTTTACATATAACCTAGGCAGGGCAGAGTGGCAGAATTAGCTGCTGTTCAAAGAACAGTGTCCTTTGCTTAACAGACCAGTTTTAAATGCAAGAGATGTTTTAATAAGCATGTATTGCTCTTATTGCCCAACATAATTAATATAGTTTACACATACACACACAGTTTTCAAGATTTCCTTTGTATTTCAATAGAAATGTTGTTTTGCATTCCAAACACCTTGACACTACAAAGAATGTATTGGTCTGTTTATTAATCTGTTGTGTACAGATTAATAAACAGTTATTATTGAAAGTTATTAATTTTAACAGAATAAAATGGAAAAACTGTTTGGCACAGGTGCATCTGAAGCTGTTGCCTATTTTTCTTCTATACATGTTGTCTATTTTTCATCTTACTAGATTTATATCCAGTCTGGAATCTGGCTGAAGTATAGAAATGCAGCAGAAAACACCACACATTCTATTTATGAACTAGTCAATGTGTAGGCAATTTGGCAGTTTGACTCTAGTGGAGGAACATGATAAGGAAATGTGATCCACTGTATTTTAACACCAAATATCCTTTACAGACTAATGAAATACTCCAGAAGGTGGTTACATTTTTTGTTTGTCATTCTTTTGTCTAGCTACTTTGAAAAGCAGAAAGCAGAATGGCAGACAGAACCACAGGAGCCTCCCATCCCAGAGTCTCTGGCTGCAGCTGCAGCAGCTGCCCAACAGCTGCAGGTGGCCAGGAAGCAAGACACCAGACAGACAGCAACTTTCAGACAGCAGCCACCTCCAATGAAGGTCAGGAGATGGAATGTGCTGGGTTTTCTCTTTTGTCATTGGAATGCATTATGTTTAGAAAGTGATTAATGTTTGTGAAAAGGAAAAATTACATGTCCTGATTGCGATTTTCCTTGCAGTGGTTCAAAACAAGAACAAGCAGTAGACTAAAGTAGTAGCACCAGTCATCAAGGGTTAAGGATAAGAATCTTTTGGGACTTAAAAGTCACCCTCAGCAGACATGTAGGCCATTCCCACTCCTCTTGTGTTTCACTTGGGAGCAAGGGATGTAAGAAAGAGAAAAAATCTCGGCAAAAGAAAAAGTAGTGGCTCTTAGTTAATGCCATATGGAGTCATACTAAAAGCAGCGCACATATTTTATGAGGGAAATTAACCAATGGTGTAAATTACCAGGAAAAGTGATTGCTTCTGCACTTGGAATCTTCAAGAGTAACATGTAGATTAATGTAACATAACCACAGGCACTTCAGTGGCAGTTTTACTCAGCTCCTTAGGTAGTGAGAAGAGTTAAGTAGTTACATAGGGGTATTCATCCCACCCAGGTTCCAGAGTCACTAAGAAGGCTAACTGATGTAGGTACACCCCAAAGTAATATACTTAGTATCTGTAGCTAGGCAATTGAAAAGCCATTCTGCAAGCAATGGGCTTCAGTCAAACATAAATTACAGTGCTTAGTCTGGAGCAAAAGGGTAAAGTTCTGTACCTTGTGTTAAGTATGTGGAATTCATCCAATCACCTGCTCCTGCCTTCAATTCTGTGGCATTGCAGTTGGCCATCACTGTAACTTCTCTGACTCAGTGAACTATTAGGCAGGTAAACACCTTTAATACATCATTGTAAAAAACACAAAATAGAATTTAAAGTTACTGACACACGTATGAGCCACATGTCTGCAGAAATGTAGTTTTAATTCAATGAGATGCTCCTGTTTTTCAGTAAGCCTGAAATTACAATCCACATGCCTAGATGGTATAGAATGCAGCAGCAGTCTGCCTTTGCAGGCAGGGAGCCTTGTTTTTGTCTGTGCTGTAAGGCAGAGTGTGATGCTCAATAACCTGTGTACCAAGGCCACTTTGATGTTTGTAACCAATTGCATTTCAGGCGTGTTTGTCGTGTCACCAACAAATCCACCGGAACGCGCCCATATGTCCACTCTGCAAAGCAAAGAGCCGATCTCGGAATCCCAAAAAGCCCAAGAGGAAACAGGATGAATGAAATCCAGGAGATTGACAAGCTGTGTGACCTGTCCCAGTACTCTTCCAATAGAATGGCAAATTTGCCCAGACTTTACTGAATTGCAGACTCAAGTATGACAGTCTCATTGTTTTCTATTTAAATGCAATGTAAGCACAATGTTCCTGCTCTAAGTTCCTTCCAGTCTTTAGGATTTGATTTTAGGAAAGTAAATATTACTGGTGCTACAGTTTAACATTTCAATTGCTCCATCTTTTGTACTCCTAAACAAACTGGAATTCTTTGTGCAAGTGTCCTAAATGTCAGGCTATTTCTATTGACCAAATGTGATCACCACAAATGCTTTTATGTTCTCTTTTTAAAAAACAGATGTTACTAAAAGATTATTCTGTTTTCTCCTGATAACAGGAGACTATTTGAAGTGCTAAAATAGCAGACTGTCTGTTTGTTTCACTGAAGAACAGTTTGTTCTCCTATCTCGTAAGACTGGGTAGATTTGGGTATCCAATGGAACTCTTTTTAAACAGGAAATGTTCAGGGAAAACAAGATTTGTTATACCGAAAATCAATGCATTAAGGACACACATGGGTTTTGATTTACTGAAGTTGATTGTACCATTCCCTCAAACTTGACTTAAAACTTGGAAAGGTGCTCTCTGTGTATGAATTTTTAAAAATTATGTTTTAACATCTTAACAGGTTATTATTTTCAGCAGTCAGAAGACTGACTGACTTAAGAACAAGGCTGAAGTGAACTGTATTAGTGGTCCTCCTAGGCTTTATGGCTGACCAATGCACTGTGGTTCTCTAGGAAACATGTATGATATATGCCAGATCTCTATGTGCACAGACTGCACATCAGCCATTCTGCATGTCTTCTGTTCCTGGTTTCTACAGCCAAAATCTGCCAGACGTATCCTCCACTGGAGCATAGGAAAGTTCAGGAACATGCATGAGGAACAGTGTCAACTAAAAATTATATCATTCTCCAGAACCAAGGAGCTTTGGTGTCATTGTCCTCCCTCAACCAAAACTTTCTATTTTTCTGTCTTTTAATAGGTCATTTTCAAATAAGCTTTACTTCAGGCCAGTTTGTTTTCTTGTTCCCTGTGTGCCAAAGGAACCCTGACTAAAGCTTCTGGATTAGATCACTCCCTGTATGTTTTCCCTTTGTTTCATGTAATGTAACAACAGTTCTTGCAATGGGAAGGATGGCAATGATTCACTTACAGAGCCGGCACTTGAAATTTACTCATCTCTAATCCCAGTTTTGTGACCACCTTTGTTGCCTAAATTGATCTCAAGTGTTAAATATTCTTTTTACTAACTCTGGGACACAGGAACTGCTTGTTCACACTCTTCTCTCTTTAGCCCAGGTTTCTCTCTACTGTTATGTCAGAGTGGTTATACTGGGAATTTGGCTTGTTAGACAGAACAGGGAAGCCCCAAGTCTCTGCTCCAAGAACTTTGCCAAATGCTGGCAACTGTAATAAATCCACATGATGTAATTTTGCTGGCCAAATCACATACGTTGCCATTAATTTCCTAAGTTTGCCACAGAGTACATGATTGATTTACTGAATATATTCCTAAAACTTAAGCCAGGTTCAGGAGATATTCCCCCATTTTCATGTTACATAGTCAAATCAACATCTGTCAACAGCAGACAGAATGTGGACCACCTGCCCCTGAAAATACGTGAAGAGCAGATTCTGCTAGCTGAATGACAGGGATTTGGTCTGTGAGATAGCAATAATGGAAGATAGTCTCCATGCTCCAAATGGCAATAGTGTGTTATGCATGTCTTGTAGCACAAATACTGGATTCTACTGTTTTAAATGTCAGAGTGGTCGCATGCTGTGTGCTCTGTTCAGAGCAATTCCTATGGAGTTGAAGGGAAACTGCACAGAGTTAAAAGACAGTATGTGGACTTCCCCAAAGTGCATACATGAGAGCAGCATACTTTAATGGTAGTTGTACATAAATTTAAGTAGTGACAATGGAGTGGGTGAATGGTCTGCAATAAAGTAGTGTGAATAGGAGGATTGATTTGTAGAGACTTCTACTTACAGTTCTGAAATAGGTAGGGTTAGTCATCGTTGTTCTCACTTTACCGTTACTTTGCCAGGTTCTTTCTTTCTTGGGAGATCCCTTAACTGAAGTATACTTAAGGATACACCATTTGCTAATTTAGTACAAGAGTTTGTACTTTTACTTTTTTAAACTAGCCTCATGGGCTCTTGTGTTTTACAAGGTTAGGGTTTGGTTGTTTTGTGTTTTTTTTAAGTGATTATGACACACTGTGTTTGCATCAATTGTAGTAGTATTTACAAATTTTCACATCCTTTACAAAGTTCTGCCATATTAGTAGCATGCTTTGCTGAGGGTGAGTGTAACTGGAGATAAGTCAGCAGGGTGCCCTGTCTGCCAAAAGGGCCAACCATAACCTGGGGTACATCAAGCACAGCATTGCCAGCTGTTTGTCTCACTCTACACTGCACTGGTGAGGCCTTGAGCACTGCGGACAGTTTGGGATTTCCTCAGTGCAAGAAGGACATCAGAAGGAAATCAGACTGTTACAGTGTTCTAGAGGAGGAGTGTGACCAACACTGCAAAAAGTCTCAAGGACAAGACCTCTGAGGAGCAGCTGAGGACACTTGCCTTGTTTGTTCAGTTTGGAGAAAAGAGGGCTGAGGAGTGCGCTCAAGGACAAGACCTCTGAGGAGCAGCTGAGGACACTTGCCTTGTTCAGTCTGGAGAAAAGAGGGCTGAGGAGTGCACTCATCACAGCCTACAACTTCCTCCAGAGGGAAGCAGAGAAGGAGGAGGTGCTGATCCCCCTCTGATGACCAGCAACAAGATACGAGGACACAGAATGAAGCTGCAGTGAGGGAAGTTCAGGTTGGACCCCAGGAAAAGGTTCTTCTCTGAGAGAGAGGTTGGTCACTAGCCCAGTGACCCAGGGAAGTGGCCAAGGCACCAAGCCTGTCTGGGTTTGAGGATCACCTGGATGACAGTCTCAGCCATACAGTTAAATGCTAGGTAGTTGGACCTGATGATCCTTGTGGATCCCGTCATACTTGAGATATTCTATGATTCTAGCCATTTCAAGGAGGTAAAATATGTATTCTGTATTAGGGGACCATGGGGTGGGGGCAGGGAGGGAAGCAGTGTCTTTCATAGGGAAGGAGTATTCTTTTCTCTCACAGAACAATCATGGAAGTTTAACAGAAGAACTCTTCTTGTGACAGCCCCAGGCTCTTTTCTCCCAGGCAACTCTCTCAAGAGACTGGAGGAATAATTATGAAATATTGATTTCTTGGTATTCAGACAGAAGAGGAAGCTGTCTGAAGAGCAGCTCTTAATACAAGTCTACTGCATTTTTGCTTCATGGAGCAATAATGGCTTCTTCGTTTGTATCTGAAGTCCTTGTGGATGCTTCTTCACTTCGCTTAAATTTATTCTTATTTGGGTCAAATTGTCTGAGTAGACAATGAGACCCTCCTCAAAGCTTAGGAGACTTTTATGTTACTGAAGTCTGGTTTAACCCTGTCTTTGTCCTTCTGTTTTTAAAAGGGTATCCGTGTAACAACAAAAGAACTGGATTCTCTTGATGAAGATGGTTTCCAGATCTTTGTTCATCACTTGCCTCAAAGGATAGTCCTGTTGTTCTGCAAACAAACAGAAAAAAACCAAAATCCCCAGCCTTTCACCCTGCCATCAAGCCTCAGCTCATAAGTAAAAGGATGCAAACATTGTACTGTATCTAAATTCTTTGCTATAGAAATTTTCATCCAAGCTGCGGTGGATCAGTTGTCCAAACTTTAGTGTCAAGGACACCATTAACTACAGAGAAAATGTCAGGCCAATTTAAATACTTGCACTTCCTGAATTCAACCTTAGCTTTATAAATAGGACCCTGACTGAACCTGACAGTGGCTTCAATTTACATGATCTAAATTTGAAAGAATAGACATTGATGTGTTACTTTAAATAGCATACTATTCAAGAAATTAGGACTTCACTAGCACTTTAAATAAATACAAAGTGCTTTATTATTTTATTTTACAGTTTTCTAATTCCTCCAGCATACATTTTCATTTTAGTATTTAGGTATTCTAGCAATATCTGGTGTTTTCACTGGCTTCTGTGTTTTAAGTATTTTACTCCTGTGCCTCATAGGAGTAAGAGTGTGAGATCTGTTTAATTTGTCTGTACAGTCCTTTTAAATAAATGTTTGTTTCATGTCATGCTTTCTTTCTGCAGAGTACTTTCACATCTGTTATGTGCTTATGCTACTAAGAAGCCCAGGTGGTAAAACTCAGTTCTCTGATTTTACAGAATACACTTAGCCACAATTCTGTTACACCTTTATAGAAACTTTATTGAAATAAATAAGGGGAAAGAAAAATCCCTTCAAAGGAGCTTTAGAAATTAGAAAGGAAAAGGAGATAGCACATCAGGTTTTAACCTAGTCAGAGTTCTCAGTTTTTTCTTCTAAAGTTAAATTTGAAAGCGGCAAGAAATACAATTCCTTCTCCAACTTAATAATAATTTTGATCTCTGTTAATTTTGTTTAGCAATATGAATTGTTGACTTTAAAACAATGTGCCCTAATTTCTGTTCATCCTGCTGCTTTTTTCAATTTCTTAATCTGAGTTGTAATAGTTTACGTAACAGTAACAGTAACAGTAACAGTAACAAAGCTAATACACATTCATACCTTCCTAAGAACTAACCCTGAAATACTCCCTGTAACTAACATCAGCTTCCATCACATTTTCCTGAACTTAGCAAGATTCTGTGGTAAAATGAGTTTCAAACCCCTGGATCTTCCTAAATCTAATATTAAAGTGTAGCATTAAAAACAATCTAATATATTTCAAGGAAAAGAAAAAAAAAAACCAAAACAAAGCACCAAAGCATGTCCCACCCTTAAAACCACTACTTAAAAATTTCTATTGTGCTTTTCAGGCTTTACTCCAACTAGCCTTACTCTTAACTTCCCCTCTTCACTCTATTCAGGTGAAGTGGTTTAATGGTGGATTTAGCAGTGCTGGGTGAATGGTTGGGCTTTGGTGATATCAAAGCTCTTTTCCAACCTAAATGGTTCGAAGGTTCTTTATGTCCCGCTCCCTTTTTCCCCCCTCACTTGCTGTTCCTTTCGCCTTTTTCTTGTCCCTGTGTTTTCTGATTTTCTCTGTCCTGTTCCCAGCCTTGTGCTTTCCCTGTACAACCCCGCCACCAAGCTGGTTCCCTCTTCCCCTTCCTCTTTCCTCTTCTTCTCTTCCTCCTCCCCTTCCCTCATCACAGGGTTGCTCCTGGTGCTCTCCACCTGTGTCCAGCAGCTCCAGGAGCTGACCACCATCAGTCAGTTCCCTGCAGACTGACGGTGCTGCTCCACAACAACCCCGGAGGTGTCCCGTGGGCAGGGCCCCCAGGTGAAGGAACCTGCTGAAGGAACTTGTCACGAGTGTGACAGAATAAACCCTTATCAGCCACCTCTGCTGTCCCTTTGCACTGGGCTGTGAGGAGCCCTGGGCAGGAGGTGATGCCCGAAGAGAACCGGACAATGGCCTCCTGTTCCTGCTGGGCCCCAGCTGTGGGGCCTGTGGCATCTCTGGTCCTTTATGTCTCTGGGTGACATTTTTTGTTTTGGTCCTACAAATACGATACATAGGGGCTTGAAAACACAAATACAACTTCTGTACATATAAATTATATAAAGGGAACAATAAAAGGCTTGAAAATGGGAGAAAATGTTATTTCCCAGCTGTGGGGCCTGACAACATCTCTGGTCCTGTGCTCACGGTTCTTCAAATTTTTATGTTTCTGGGTCACATTTTTTGCTTTGGTCCTACAAATACAGATACATAGGGGCTTGAAAATACAAATACAACTTCTGCACATATAAATGACATAAATATAAAGGGCTTGAAAACGGGACAAAATGTGATTCGCGTGAAGGCAGCAGGAGCCGCTCCGCGCCCTCAGAGGC